GACGTGTGTGATCGAGGAGGTAACGACTGAGGGGTAGAAGAGGACGATGCTGATAATGATAATGAAAAAAATGATGATGATGATGATGATGTTGTCGTCGGTGATGAAAATGATGATGGGGATAAAACGACGGAAGCGAATGGCGCCATTTTGTTTTTGTTGAAAAGCATCATATCGTTTGATTTTGTTGACGATTTTGTAGATGATGTTGCAGCTGTTGCAGCTGTTGCAGTTGACGTTTTTGTTGGCGTTGTTGACGTTCTTGCTGCTGTTTTTGTTGATGTTGTTGTTGCTTTTACTGTTGAAGTTGATGTTGTCGTTGCTGCTCTTGTTGAAAATGATGACGATGATTTTGCTGTCAGTGATGATACCTTTGATGCTGCTAGATTTAAATGTAGCTGTTGCTGTTGTGGCTGCTGCTGTTGAGGAAGCAACCGCTGTTGCTGCAGTTGCTGATGAGTTTGTTGTTGATGTTGTTTACAATTGGCACTCTTGACGGTTTTATTTTTCCATTTCATCGCGATTTCGACGATGTTTTTGTTGTTGTTGATATTATTATTATTATTATTCATATTATTATTATTTTTATTATTATTACTGTTGTTGTTGTTGCTGAAACTTTTGCTAAGGTTAACGCAAGTTACTTTTGTTATGTTTGTCGTAACTTTGTTGATGTTGTTGTTGCCACTTTTAAGTTTACTACCATTGGTACCATCATCAACTTTACTCATTTTTCGTGAAGTAATAGCAGCTGCAGCAGTAGTAGTAGCAGTAGTAGTAGCAGTAGTAGTAGTAGCAGTAGTAGTAGTAGCAGTAGCAGAAGTAGTAGTAGCAGTCGTAGCAGCAGTATAAATAGCAGCACTTAAATCTTTCATTGATGTTGAACTAGTTTGTTGAGTGCGAGTTAAATATTTCGGTGATGACGATGACGACGACGATGATGATAATGATGGAATGAGTGAAATCGATGATGATGATGCCGCTGCTGCTGCTGCAGTTGGTGGTGGTGGTAGAAGTTGTGGCGATGATGATAATGACGACGACGATGGTAAGTGAAGGGATGATGATAACAGTGACTCGTTCCGCCACCAATTGTTATTATTAAAGTTGTTATTATCTTTGAAAGAATTGTTGTTATCATTACTATTATTATAAGTAGTAGCAGCAGCAGCAGTAGTAGTAGTAGTAGTAGCAGCAGCAGCAGCAGCAGTAGTAGTAGAAGTAGTAGTGGTAGTAGTATCATCTTCATCATTTACACCGATTATCCCGCCATAAGTTGCACATACTTTTTCCGTCACACCAAAGCAACCACAATTATTATTATTATCATCATTATACTTATTATTATTATTATAAACATCATTATCATCATCGCCACCGACGCAGCTTAAAGTCACTAAGGACATTGTTCTATTGACTCTCTCCTTTCTCGTCATCATCATCATCATAACTCCTACATCTTTATTATTATTATTATTATTAGTAGTAGTAGTAGTAGAAGCAGTGGCAGTAGTAGCAGCAGTAGTAGTAGTCGTAGTAGTAGTAGTAGGAGTAGAAGTATTTGCCAAAAGCGCCAAGCATAAACTGTTATTGCTTAGAGCCTTATTGAAGGTTCCGCTATAATTTACACTATCATTATTATTATTATTAATATTATTATTGTTATTATTGTTGTTATTATTATTATTATTATTTGTTGTTGTTGTAGTTGAAAGTTGCGGATTTGAATGAACTTTATGCCTGGTCCATGGAAGTTTTGGGCAGGGAAGGTTGGATTTTCTCATCTTTATTTCTCTGCTGCTGTTGTTGTTGTTGTTGCTGCTGTTGATGTTGTTGTTGCTGCTGTTGATGTTGTTAATATTAGTGTCATAATAATAATAATAATCATAAAAATATTTTTCCAAGTTTCGCTTTTTATTGTCGTTCCGTGTATTAAAGAGAATTCAAAAACCAATCCAGCGTTGAAGATAAAATAGCGCTAACAAACAAACACACATGTCTACAACTATACATACATATACAGACAAACATGCCTATACATGAACACATACAAGGAAACATACAGACTCTCAACATACAAACATTCAACAAACTCTCAACATACAAACAAACAACATACAAACATTCAACAAACATACAATCATTCAACAAACATACAAACATTCAACAAACAAATTCTCAACATACAAACATTCAACTCTTCTTTATGATGATTGTGCGAATGAATGATGCTTTCGAAAGAAAAACAGCAGAACGTGAAAAACTTTTTATTATTATTATAACAATAATTATTATAATTATTATTACTATAATTTATTATAATTATTATTACTATAATAATTATTATTATTTTATTATTTTGCATTTCTTCGTTTATCAGCTTTTTTGATTAAAAACGAAAAAAATAGTTTTCAAGATGAAATAAATCAAGCATCGCCTTAAATCACACGCACACACACACACACGCACACACACACATATATGTGTGTGTGTGTGTACATATATATGTAATAAAAAAATGTGAATAACAAGGTTGATAAGAATTGAAATAAACAACGAAAGCAAAGTTTGATTTAATAAGTTTTTAGAGAATTTCCTTTAATCATACTGTCTGTCTGTCTGCCCGTCTTTCTCTCTTTCTCTCTCTACCTATCTCACCTTCATGCAAACGTACATACATACCAACCAGGTTCTAGAT